AACTTTTTAAGGGGGGAGGTGTTGTGAGGTGTGTTGTATTTGTATTATTTCATCATGTATATTATTAGTAACATTAAGTTTCTTGAACATTCCAGAGTGGTCAACATGTTCGGTCATTTTTTCTAGAACATTCTTGAACTTTGTGTATGTCCAGAACTTTCAAGTAATATCATGTACTTACAACTTCTAGAATATTCTAGATTTATATTACTGTATAAATATCCTGTCAATTCGATGCATAGATATACTCTTGTCGTATCAGCACCATTGAGTTACAACTGGGATATATTTTCACTGGGACATTGTGTGCAGCAACGGACACTCTGAGGTATGTATTTTTAGATTTTTGCTAAGTTTGTACTTAATGATTTGTATATTACTGTAAATAAATTATTGTTAAGTTTAAACTGTGTGATTGATCTTTGCTGGCATTTAGGGTTATTCTGACCCATAACAATAGGAAAAATCTTTAAAAATCTTCCTCTCAAGAACCACTGGGCCAGGAAAGATGAAATTCATGTGGAATCATCCTCAGGTTGTGTAGATTCAAGTTTGTTCAAATCATGACCCCCGGGGCAAGGATGGGGCCAAAATGGCCGACCCTAGTTTTACATAGGAATATATAGGAAAAATCTTTAAAAGTCTTTTTCTCCAGAACCACTGGGCCAGGAAAGATGAAACTCATGTGGAGTCATCCTCAGGTAGTGTAGATTCAAGTTTGTTCAAATCATGACCCCCGGGGCAAGGGTTGGGCCAAAATGGCCGACCCAAGTTTTACATAGGAATATATAGGAAAAATCTTTAAAAATCATCTTCTCCAGAACCACTGGGCCAGGAAAGATGAAATTCATGTGGAATCTCCCTCAGGTAGTGTAGATTCAAGTTTGTTCAAATCATGACCCCCGGGGCAAGGGTGGATACAAAATGGCCGACCCAAGTTTTACATAGGAATATATAGGAAAAATCTTTAAAAATCTTCTTCTCAAGAACCACTGGGCCAGGAAAGATGAAACTTATGTGGAGTTATCCTCAGGTAGTGTAGATTCAAGTTTGTTCAAATCATGACCCCCGGGGCAAGGATGGGGCCAAAATGGCCGACCCTAGTTTTACATAGGAATATATAGGGAAAATCTTTAAAAATCTTCTTCTCCAGAACCAATAGGACAGAAAAGATGAAACTCATGTGGAATCATCCTCAGGTAGTGTAGATTCAAGTTTGTTTAAATCATGACCCCCGGGGCAAGGGTGGGTCCAAAATGGCCGACCCAAGTTTTACATAGGAATATATAGGAAAAATCTTTAAAAATCATCTTCTCCAGAACCACTGGGCCAGGAAAGATGAAATTCATGTGGAGTCATCCTCAGGTAGTGTAGATTCAAGTTTGTTCAAATCATGACCCCCGGGGCAAGGGTGGGGCCAAAATGGCCGACCCAAGTTTTACATAGGAATATATAGGAAAAATCTTTAAAAATCGTGTTCTCCAGAACCACTCGGCTAGGAAAGATGAAACTCATGTGGAATCATCCTCAGGTAGTGTAGATTCAAGTTTGTTCAAATCATGACCCCCGGGGCAAGGGTAGGTCCAAAATGGCCGACCCAAGTTTTACATAGGAATATATAGGAAAAATCTTTAAAAATCATCTTCTCCAGAACCACTGGGCCAGGAAAGACGAAATTCATGTGGAGTCATCCTCAGGTAGTGTAGATTCAAATTTGTTCAAATCATGACCCCCGGGTCAAGGATGGGGCCAAAATGGCCAACCCTAGTTTTACATAGGAATATATAAGAAAAATCTTTAAAAATCTTCTTCTCCAGAACCACTGAGCCAGGAAAGATGAAACTCATGTGGAATCATCCTCAGGTAGTGTAGATTCAAGTTTGTTCAAATCATGACCCCCGGGGCAAGGGATGGGCCAAAATGGCCGGCCCAAGTTTTACATAGGAATATATAGGAAAAATCTTTAAAAATCTTGTTCTCCAGAACCACTGGGCCAGGAAAGATGAAACTCGTGTGGAATCATCCTTAGGTAGTGTAGATTCAAGTTTGTTCAAATCAAGACCCCCGGGGCAAGGATGGGGCCAAAATGGCCGACCCAAGTTTTACATAGGAATATATAGGGAAAATCTTTAAAAATCTTCTTCTCCAGAACCACTGGGCCAGGAAAGATGAAACTCATTTTGAATCATCCTCAGGTATTGTAGATTCAAGTTTTTCAAATCATGACCCCCGGCCCTGGGGATAGGGTGGGGCCAAAATGGCCGACCCAAGTTTTACATAGGGATATATAAGGAAACCTTTTAAAATATTCTTTTCAAGTACTTCAAAGCTATGATAAGTGATACCCGGGGTATTTATATGGAATCATCCTCAGGTGGTGTAGATTCTAATTTGTTCAAATGATGAATGCCTGGAAGGGGGGAGTAAATTCAAGCCCTATGTTCTCAGGTGAGCGCTGTGACCCTTGGGCCTCTTGTTTATTCATTTGTCCAGTTTTTCACGATTTAAGAAACAAGTTCATCAAACATTACTACTCCCGAAGACCAAGTGTCTTCAAGTTAATACAATTAATCTGTAGTACAAATACCAAAGATGTAAATCAGTTAGGGAAATATATATATCATGCTAATAAATTACGAATGGAATGTTTAAATCAATTAGCTATATAATAAAATGTATGTATTAATAGTTTGTAAGTTTATAATATGTTATTGTACTATGTATGTAATTGATAAATACAATGTTGTACTTATGATGCTTATGGGATGTACGTCCCACGGAAAAAAGAACTGAACTCTCAGTCCATACACTGAATTGACGACGGACTTTCCGTTAATTTCTGATCATGACAAGGAGCACACGAAGGAAGATGTGACTGGTCGGCAGTGGATGCCTACTCCGCAATGGCACCTGATCTTACCTCTGCCGTTTTGGAGGTCCGCCTTTGCTCTGCTCCTAATTTGTATTGTTTTATGGACATTTTATCTTGAATACTGTTTATTATATCCTTATGTTTCATTCCAAAAACTGATTTGACTTGGCAAATACAGAAATTAACTTTGGAGATATGTTAAAAAACATAACATTAATATAAAGTTGTTGATTTTATTGAATATTTTACGAATTTTAACAGCGGAATTTTTCCCTCACTTTTTTATTAAACTATCGATAGTCAAGTTTATGATGTTTTTACAAACATATAAGGGGATCGATTGTGGTTTTATTGTGTGAAAACTACAGCAACGAAACTCTTCATTTTAATGCCATATATAACTTACAACTTCAGTGTACATGCCAAGTCTGGGGGAAATCTACCGTCCATGTATTTTAATGGACCGTCTCAAAATACAGTACTTTCAATAAAGGATTATATAGGAAAATGACAAGTTTTAGCACTTTATAGCAAATTTACAAATACTACAATAGACCTTTTGTTCATACTAAAATATATGATGAGTAATACTAAATTGTACATTATTTGTAAGAAACACAGAAATCTACCGTCTTGTAACCAGATGGGGCATTTCAAAATGCCAAAAATTAACAAATTTCCCTGCCATTATAGAATACTACAAAATATCACAGACACAATGGATTTTTATGAAAACATAATAAAAACAATGGAAATATTCTCAAATTTCTATGTTTGAAATTTTAAGAGCGTATTTTTATAACTTTTTCTGAAATAGCATTTTTATTACACCTTTCTTTAAATAGCTTCAGCTTTTCATAACGTCAAAAACACACTGGAACGACGACAACCTACATTGACCTATAAATTGAAAAATTGGTTCAGAATCAATTATAAGAATTGTAATTACAATTTTAAACTTGTAATTTCTTAATTTTGTATAATTTTATTAATTAAACGGAAAAAGTTGCTTTAAAACAGTTAATACGCTTCATTTTACTATGATGTGCGAAATATTGCGCAATGAAAACTAAAGTCTGCCCCCGTGAGTGCGTGTTTCTTATTTCCAAGTCAGAAATGTTTACTCTATCGTCTTCAGAATCCGACAGAACCAATTGTAAATAAGCTTCCGTTTTACGTTTTTATGTTAACTCGCATTGTTCAATTTTATTTACCCCGTGGGGATCCGGGTTAGAATAGGTCCTCAGTACACCCTTGCTTGTCGTAAAAGGCGACTTAATGGGGCGGTCCTTCGGATGAGAGCGTATAAACCGAGGCCTCGTGTCACAGTAGGTGTGGTACGATAAAGATCTCTCCCTGCTAAAAGGCCCTGAATGCCGAGCATAGGCCTAAATTTGCAGCCCTTCACCGGCAATGGTGACGTCTCCAAATCAGTGAAATATTCTGGAGAGGGACGTTAAACAGTATACAATCAATCAATCAATCAATTTTATTTAACCTTTCCTTTATATCTGTAACGATAGAGTAAATTACATAGACATTGTCTGTTTAAAGTCTAAATGACACTTCCTGTATATATTTTTAATTTTAAAGGAATTATTTTTTTATTTGGACTATGTCAATGGCATTAAACATTCTATGTATTTTATTAGAATAAAGTGATTTTAATCAATTCTAAATTATAAAGCCGTAATATACAAAAAGGTATCATTATGAATTATGAACAAACAAATATATTCATGTTACTTTTCTTTCAAGAAAAAACCTATTAAAGCAAGTCAAACACAACAACAGCATAAAAGTAAATAATTCTACTGTAAGTAACATAGAATAGCTTCAATCATATGAGAAAAACGAACACCTATAATTAATGGTTCCATAAATAACTGTCATTTAAAAAAAGTCTGATAAATTAAAATGAAACATATGGAAAAAAACTACATATATATCATCTATGTCTGCTTCCTTTCTTTTCCTTAGAATATTCCATAAAAAACAGTCAAGAGAAGTTGTTAAGCCGACAACACTCTTTTTTGACAATTAGGTTGCTGTTAACAATTGCTTTATTTCTTTTTAACAATGGCGTTATTTCTTTTTAACACTTGCCTTTTCCTGATTTCTTTTTTAGTTAAAACTGTACAATCTAAGGAGGGTGAATCAAGAAACATTTCATGGACTGCAGATTATTTCCCTAGAGCTGGATTGTACCTTATTTTTCATGTATATAACGATTCAGCAAAATCAATAATGCAGATAGGGGACAAGGACCCGTCAACTGAAAAGTATGTTTATCATACCCGACCCCTGGATTCTGTTAATATACAGTTTGAGGTGAAAAATATAACGCTGCAAGATGCCGGATATTACGTAGGGGGTACCTCCGAGGCAGATGCTTGGTTAGGAGGTGGAGGAGTTGTTCTAATTGTTTTTGGTAAGTTCTGTGATTTTTTTGTTATTAACAATTTGCTTATACACGAAAACAATGGGGAAAAGTTGTAAATTGTTGTATATCACTACCAAATCTACGATTGTTTATTAATGTAATGCTAAATGCATTGAACGCATTAAAAATTTATTTAATTAGGCCAGTTGATCCAATGATAGCATGTATACTAAATGTCAAGGTGTAAGACTACGCTTTTGCCCCTCCCAACCAACTTGTTTAATTATTTGAACAAAATTGAATTTAAGGATACTTCCGTACAACTAAGACTTATCATGGCTTTGCCATTTCGATACAAGATTTGGTTAATTTAAGATTGACATTAAATTGAAGGATTAAACTAGTATACATAGATAAATGAAGAGAGCTAATACAGAATATATTTAAGAAAAAAATTATCTGATATAAACCAGTGGTAGGGAGTGTTTAAAACAAATTTTCAAGATTTGCACTTTACAAGCATTGATGATGATTTTATAATTTAAAAAATATAAAACATTTTAATGTACTGTATTACGGTTACATTTAAGAAATTCTTTGAAGTTAATTTTGAAATTCAGGAAAACCAGTGAGAGCACAAATAACTGGGAATCTGAATCTTCAAGTTAGAAAATATGCTTACCTGAAATGTGAAAGTAGATCTACGTCTGCTCCGTCCTATTACAAGAGGTTCCCGCCATTATCGTATTCATGGTTTGTCAACAACACCAGGCTAAATAGAGAGGTTAGAGAGACATACAGCTTTATTGTGTCTAAGGATGTTAAATACAACAAATACAGCTGTCAGGCAAAGGAAATCCTAGAATCTGAAAAAAGTGTCGAAATTCAAATAAACCCTTTATGTAAGTATAGTAGTAATTTTAAATTAACGTACACTATCATATTTTAGCAAAGCATGTGATAATTTGAATTACCAGCGTGTCTTGGTAAAGATTGATTGATTTAAGGATGCTACAGTGTAGGGTTAAACAAATGAACCATCAGATATAATTTGAATTTTTAGATTTGATATCTTAAGCTGTCAACAATCATTTGGCAAAAAAAAAAAAAAAAAAAAAAAAATTTCAAACATTTAGGCCATTCCAAGTTTTTTCTCTGTTTAGCGTCCACTCATCTTTCGAAAAAATTACCTTCCTATTCGCAAAAAACACACAAGCCAAAATATAAAACACAAGCTTAAAAGTCATAAAAACAACGTCCTTCAAATGATTTGATCTAACTAAACTGCTTTAATAGAAGACATAACAATTCTTAAGCCAAAACAACTGATAAAATTCTTACAATAAACACAATATAACTTACTGTACAGAATTTTTTGGGAAAATTTACAGAATTAAAAAAATTCGACTAAATTGAACAATTTCAGGACTCCTGATGTTGTGTATTAATTCTTATAATTGGGGTGTCAAAAACCAAGGCGCACACGGACGCTAAACATAGAAAAAAATTGGAATGGCCTTATTTTTAAAATTTGATCGTATTTTTCTTTACATGAAACTCTTATTATAAAGGAGATCAAAATAGTCTAAAATGGCCATACTCCAGCCCCTTTAACATAACTGCTTAATGCTAAGTCAGATAATTTCAGTCATGTCCCTTAATCTTTGTACAGAGGTAAGGCAGTTCGCCATTCAAGAAAACAGAAAAAAATAACTAATTTATAGAATAATTCATGACAACAGTAAAAAAAAAAAATCAACAGTTGATTTGAGCATTTTTTCCTAACAATACTTGCAAATTTATGGCATTGAAAACAATTAAAAAGATAAATAAAATCCCAATAAACCTGAGGAAAACGAATTAGGGTAGGTATATTGCATGTCGCTAATTCTGTTGATGTGGCAATATATACATTTTCATACTTTGGTGTTTCTTGCTCTTGCAGACTCATCAATTCACGTTTGTCCACTAGATACTGCCAATTATATAGACGGGTACCTGCCTGACTGCGTCGAATCTTCATTTTTTTTTTAATTTAAAGAATTGGTTAACAAGAAATAATTAATTCTGCGTCTACACCAAGAAATTCCGTGAAAATAAGCTGCATTAAATGGAATTAGAAATAATACGCCTGCCATTACACGACCGTCGTTTTCAAGGTCTCACCCGAAAGACCCACAACACTCGCTTCAAAGTTACGAGCGCTTGACAAAGAAACGTTTGCAAACAATATTTCATAGACTAAAGTCAATCGTAGTCGAGATACCGTTAAACTAGCTATCGACTGAGTTACCGTGACGGTCGTTAATCGTTAACATTGAGAAAGTATTCTTCATCATAATATTATTTCTATCTTTCAAAAAGTATTTATCATGGCCTCTTAATGCATTGTAGTACATATCAAAACTAATTGAAAGTTTGAAATAACATTTATTGACCTTGAGTCTATGAAGAATTCTATTTGAACAATTAGTGTATAAATTTGTTATCAAGGTTAGATGAATGGTGTACGGAGTTTTTTGTTCCAAGGTCTATGGAATGAAACCCTGTAAATATTCGTACACTCTTGATTTCACCTGTATAAGTAAAATAGACTTCTTTACTATGTAAATCAGATGTCTGACAAACAATATCATTTAATTTTCCCAATTGAAAATGTAAGAATTTCAAACTTAGCCTGTTACCATGTCAATATTATTTTTCTCTTCGCAGATGGTCCAGAAACTGTACTTTTAACCCCCGAGCCACCCATTGACGGACTTAGTGTTCATTACGGGGACACATTTGGCCCATACACCTGTTCAGCTGACTGTAACCCACCTTGTAACGTGCAGTGGAAAGTCAGAGATCCGTCAGGGGGTTTTAGAGACGCTACATCCCTTGCGGCATCTTCAGTTACTGTACCAGAGATAACAGCGAATAGAACTAGTATGGCTATGATAAGATGTGCAGCTAACGGCACCGAAGGCAAAGAAACATCATCCATCAAGCTGAACATTCAGTGTAAGACTGTTTTAAGCATAAAAATGTTAAATACGGTGAAAAACATCCAATGCGAATGAGATGAAAACAAAGACATCCATACATACAAGGAACACAAACAAATAACCTAGTTCAGTTTTGCTATATCATGGAACGAAAGAAAAGTATTTTTATCTTGACTTTTTTTTTCTCAAAGATCACAAAAAGAACGTTATTTTTATAAGTCATAATTTTAAACATTTAGTAAACGGCACAGAAGGCAAACTTATTTCATCTATCAAGCTAAACATTCAGTGTAAGACTGTTTTAAAGCATTTTCACAAATTTTTTGTAAGAATACAATGAATACAATCTTAACATGTTTGTAAGCATTGCCTTACTGTATTTGCAATATTGAGGGTGTTTTAGAGACGCTACATCCATTGGCCTAACTTCGATAAATTTACCAAAGCAAAGAACAGTTAAAAAAAGTAAATATAACATTGATTTGATATTTAGTTAACGGAACTGAAGGTCGCCCTGTATCCAATATTAAGTTGAAAACTGAATGTAAGTGGGTTATGCAAGCATTTTTGAATAGTAAAGCTTTAATACATTGTGAAGAATACAACTTAAAATCAAATCCCTATGGTTACTTTCATCTGTTCTTTTAGTTTTTATAAAATAAGGGGAAAAATATATTTAAAAGCATTATATTTTCAGAATCAAACAATTTATAATCTTGAGAAACAAATAATGTTTGATTTGATTCTTCATTTTACCTGATCTATGAAAAAAATGCACATTCAACCTGATTGTAAAACAATCTTCTTTAAAACGTAAAAGTAAATATCTACTTCATCCAATACATGTGAAACGTAATAGAAGCGTAATAGAACACAGCCATACAATGGAATGGAATTTGCTTATTAATACAGGCATTAAAAGGAGGAGCGGGGTTCTTTTACACATAAACTTTTACAATGATTAACTAATTCTTCACCATCAAATTTTATTTTTTATCTCACCTTTCCTACATTTGCCTGGTAAATGTATTTTTGACTAGCAAGTAACAAACTATCTGCAAAATGAATGCTCTTAATTTAATAGTCCAATCCTAATTCTACCCTTTATTTCGTTGTAGCATAATAAATTTGATTACGTGAGCGGAAGTTGGACTTCCTTTACCACTTCTCCTACAAAATAGGATTATCGGATTTGGGCAATTTTGAAAAACGATACCACATGCTTATATTAATCAGAAAAAAATATCTTGGTCCCCTTGGAAACCAGTTCTACTTCCAGGCTGGGCCAAAATTGTCATGGTCTGAGAAATTCAGAGCGAATATATGAGGCATGATTATAATAGTTTATCATGCGCTGCGTAGTTTGTAACACACGAAAAAGAAAACACATCCATTACCTATCTATTTTTAATAATATCGATTTAAATGTTGAATTATATAATTTTTTATTTCAGTTAATACACAAGAGTCTAAGATTGGGGAATCAAGAAATATTTCATGGACTGCAGATTATTTTCCCAAAAGTGGACTTTACCTCATTTTTCATGTATATAACAATTCAGCATCAACGATAATGCAGATAAGGGACAGTGATCCGTCAACTGAAAAGTATGTTTACCATACCCGACCCATTAATTCTGTAAATATACAGTTTGAGGTGATAAATATAACGTTGCAAGATGCCGGATATTACGTAGGAGGTACCTCGGAGGCGGATGCTTGGTCAGGAAGAGGAGGACCTGTACTTGTTGTGTCTGGTAATTTTTTAAATAGAATCTTCATATTTTTTTACTCATGCTTTCACACCAAAGAGGGAATTGGAATGTAAGCAATAAACTACAATTTACGTTTTTTCTTTAAACTGATGTATGTATCAAATTCAAACTGTTGCGTTCGTGTAAAATGTTGATACGAAACATTGTTGAGTCACGTTTTGTCCGCCGTCACGTTATGTCCGCCGTCACGAAATGTCCGCCTCTTTTTCAGAAAAATCGTCACGTTATGTCCGCCGTCACGAAATGTCCGCCTCTTTTTCAGAAAAATCGTCACACTATGTCCGCCGTCACGAAATGTCCGCCTCTTTTTCAAGAAAATCGTCACACTATGTCCGCCGCTACAAAATGTCCGCCTTTCTTCCAAACAAATCGTAATATTATATCAAATGAAAGTTATAGACTTTTTTTCAGAGAACTATTCATACAAACTAAAACATCACATGTCTTTTTACAAAACAAAGGTATAAAAAATCCTAAAAGAGAAACTTTATCTGTAATTCATCAGAACTTTATTTACAATCAATTTAGGAATACCAGTTAAACCTATTATATCTGGAAATCTAAACATTCAAGTTGGAAAATTTGCCTACCTTAAATGTGAAAGTAGTTCTACCTCTGCTCCATCCTATTACAAGAAATTCCCGCAATTATCGTATTCATGGTTTGTCAACAACACCAGACTAGAGAGAGAGTTTAAAGAGACATATAGCTTTATTGTCACCAAAGATATGAAATACAACAGGTACAGCTGCAGGGCAAAGGAAACTCTAGAATCAGAGAAAAATGACGAAATTAAAATTAACCCTTTATGTAAGTAATATTTCATAGCATATTTTTTTAAGGATGATCGAAATTAAATATGCGTAAGATAAACTAATATGACATATTATAAAAGTACTATAATAATTCTACTGAGTAACTAGACAACTCAAAACTTATGTAAACCTGGTTCTTATCGCAGTGGAACGCGAATAAGATCCAAAAAAATGACATCTATTGCAAAATACTAGGGCCCGTTTTACAAAAGAACTCACGACTAAGACCAAAATTTAATTCTGCTTATAACTTTCTATTTTACATTAAATAGAAAATGGTTTTAATATTTTTAAAAGGTTTGTAGAGAGATAATTTTACTCTAGCAATTTTAAACAGAATAATTAATTTTGCAAAAATTTACAATCAACTGAAGTTTTCGGTCTTAGTCGTAAGTTCTTTTGTAAAATGGGCCCCTTGGTAAGATGAGACATGAGAAATTTTTGGAAACACGGTTTGTTTTATTTTACAGATGGACCAGAAACTGTACTTGTAACCCCTGAGCAACCGATTGGCGGATTAAGTATTCATGATGGGGACACGTTTGGTCCATACACCTGTTCCGCTGACTGTAACCCACCTTGTAATGTGCAGTGGAAACTCAGAGATCCGTTAGGGGGTTTTAGAGACGTTACACCACTTGGGACGTCTTCAGTTACTGTACCAGGTCAAAAAGCAAATAGAACTAGTATGGAGTTGATTCGATGTGTTGTAAACGGCACCGAAGGCAAAGAAATATCATCCATCAAGCTGAACATCCAGTGTAAGACTGTTTTAAAGCATTGTCTCAAAATATTTGATACACTAAAAACTAACAACGGACGGAAGAAATCAATAAAGAGAAACCCCTGCAGTACACAATATGATATTATTTTTATTACAAAATTTAAATGATTAACCTTACTTAAAACCTTTTAAGTTTCATTTTCTTCATTCCGTTTACATAATGTTGAAACATTAAGATTTATACATAATCAAAGCTATGTCAAGGGTCCTTTTTTATTCATTGTTCGTCTTAGTTGTTTACAAATCTAACAAAATTAAATTTCACATAATTCTATGTTACAATACAATCATATCAGTAGTGATCGGATACTAATTGGTTAGTATTTATACCTGGCGAGGCGAAGTCAAAACATGTCTGAAAATTACATATTTAATATTTCGTACAGTGTCACTATGATACTATGTAACGATTATATAAATATGTCATCGATGAGGGAAAGTTAATTTGTAAATGTGATCTTTCCTTCGTTGAGTAATTTCAACTGTGTAATGTAATATTTTGTGATTCCCGTCCTTAATACGCGTATACAATTTTGAAAGAAAGAATAAAGGAAGAAAAGGATCTAAAGTGCGTGCTAGTTTTAGACTTTGATTACAATATGTAACATTTCAAATTTCAACAGGCATTGGGTAAGTCAGATGTCTATTTATCAAAATTATTAAGGAAGCCGATTTGTTCTGGGTATCAAAAAAACATTCCATAATAACCGTGCATAGAATTCAATTGACAGTGTATGAGTACTTATTACAATGTACATCCCTTTCACGTGACAGGCGTCAAACAGGTATACCTGCTTGATTTTGTCACAGAATGATCCGAGTTGGGGTGAAATTGTACTCTTAACATTTTCGTTTCTGTTGCGGCATTCCTAGCTGAAAATACTGTTTTTTGTGTTTGTTTTGTTTTTTGTTTGTTTTTTTTTTTTTTTTTTTTTTTTTACAATTACCTAATTTTTAAAATTCTTTTCATTAGATTTATCGGATCCAAAGGTATATATTAATGGCAATCTTCAAAATTCCCTAACCGTCGATGAAAGATCTCCTCTATTTTTGGCATGTAACATGGAGGGAAATCCGATTCCAGATACCATCCTAAAAGAACTCACTGGAAACAAGATCTTGGTGCAACGTAGTACTACCTGGTTAAACCACACACTGAGAAGGGAAGCAGTGTGCTCTGACACAAGCACCTACAGCTGCGAGGGAAGCTCTTCAGAGTTTGAAAGAAAAATTCAATCATTCCTTATCAATGTTCGTTGTAGGTATACTTTCCGATTTTACACACATTCAAAATATCTATTACAAAGTTGAAGCCCGGGACATCAATACATGTGTAGAGATACAATTTATGGCATATGAATAAAAGACAAGATTTCATTATTTGTGTTACATGTATATAAAAGTTAAAATAATCATATAGGTTTCAATAAGTAACAATTTCTTTATGCGTCAGAACATTAAACGCAGCGAATAAACAAAATAAACATAATTTTCTTTGTTTTCTATCAATTTGAATTCTGAAGTTTAGAAACATCAACTCCATTCCATTTCTTTTCCATTGCTGTTTAATAATACTAGTATGCACATATGATTGATTGATTGTATATTGTTTAAGGTCCCTCTTGAGAATTTTTCACTCATATGGAGACGCCACCACTTGCCGGTGGAGGGCTACAAATTTTGTCCTATGCTCGGCACTCAGGGCCTTTGAGCAGTGAGGGATCTTTTCCGTACCAGCACCTACTGCGACACGGGGCCTCGGTTTATACGGTCTCATCCGAAGGACCGGTCTCCACGTCCTACAGTGGGATTCGAACCCGCTACGTAAGGATTGACTCCTTACTTCGCGACTCTAGAGCAGACGCTCTAACCACTGCGCCACGCGGGCGACAGTATGTATATATGTATTCATTATCAAAAATATCATTTTAAGTTTTTTGAAATGCGTTATAGAGGAATCAGGTCTGCCAATTTTCCCATACCATGACAAGTATTATTGTGTCAATATGTTGGCTTTTTTACTTTCAAAGATGGGTGTTTATTCAAGTACTCAAAAACTTTATATCATCAAAATAAGTTTCAAGTTGTGTTTAATTTAAATTGACTAGAATTTTATTTCAGTGCATGTATTACATGTAGAAACAACAATATGCACTTACATGTTTCTGTTTTCCGCAGATTAGGGACATAGATGTTAGAAAGATGTGTATCATAAATTGCATATACTTTTTCTCTATAACTTATTTTCTGTATATTTCTCTAAAAATTCAAAGAGTCTTTAATTTCACAAATGTTAACCATACTCCATTTCTCATGATATTTCAGGCGACCCTCGCCTTGATTTGACAACTGTAGTAAAAACCAACTATGGCTCCATGAGTGGCCCGGATGTTAATGTTCCTGTAACTGTCCCAGTGGTTGCAAATCCTGCCATATCTCTATCAGGGATCACGTGGTCAGGTCCGTCAGCGACGTCTATATTGACAAATGTAGATTTACAGAGAGATGCTTTTATATATAAACAAATGATCAGAAGCAGCATCCCCATTCCTGACAAGAGAGCGTTCGGAAACTACTCACTGATGTACAAAGGAAAAAATATTGATATTACAATTAATGCCGAAGGTTGGACTTTTAAAATATAAAGTTTGATCTACTAATTGACTTTTGAAAAAAAAAATGCTAGATTCATATTAAAGTCGAAAATAATATAAACTTACTTTTTACGTACTTTACAGCTTAGTGGCATTATTCAGATGATAAAGCATTTTCATCGAATGCAGTCTGAAACACTTTTATAGGAATACTTAAAAACTATATCCATTTTTATAATTTTAAAATATAAGGTTAAGAACAAAGTTATGATAATCTTCTAAGATGTAGAGACCGTCGACAATAGGCCTATATTAAATTTCCTTTGTCTGAAATGAAAAAAATATCCCATAAACTGTATGCATTGGATTTTCCTCATTTTTCATTGAACAGGCATTTTACATGTAAAAATGCGATTTTCTCTTCAGTGTACCTGGATATCAAGCCCGATTCATCCTTTTTGAGGCTTTCATTATTCAAATTGTAATAATATATAGGCAGTCTTTTATTTCCTAGATACACCCTGTAACAACCTGTAGCGGATGCTTTTTTTTCTGTACAACATCCTTTGTTAAAATTCATAATAACCTTACATAATATCATTGCGTTTTATTTTTTCCTTGAATATAAAACATCTAACATCAATAATTCCATTTTTCCTTCATTTGGCGATTATATGAAACGCAAAATTTATTCATGCTTTTCAATTTTTAGACATAGATTTTGTCATTTTACTCTGAGACATCGATCTTAAATAATGTATTGAATATCAACTGAAATTATCCAGAAATCATCTTTAATAATGACGATAATACGTTTTACACTTTCACTTTTTTATTTGTAAGATAAACCTCAACCTCCTTTGAATTTCACCGGATATTCCTACGCCTCTGGATACGTCAATCTTACCTGGATATCAAACTTTAATGGAGGATTGGACCAATTCTTCCTCTTGTATCTTAAAGAGGGGTCCAACTGGAGAGATATCAAAAATTTAACAGACCCGGGGGAAGGTGAAGTGGGAAGTTTTGACCCAGGACTGTTAAATACAGGACAAGAATACTGGTTCCGGTTGGAGAGTTGTAATCGAATCAGTTGTTCTTCAAGGTCTGCTGAAGTAAAGGTCACAATGCGAGGTAATTAAAAAACTGGTTTGTAATATTCGTATCCTTTATTTATTAACCAGTCTTTTATTCTTTATATGCCACAGAGATTCAAACATAATGCATTTTAAGTGTTTCAGCATAATAATAAGTTCGACACTAAGAGCACTAACAGTAATATGCCAAGCAAAATGACAATGAATGTACAGGTAAAAAGTAATCATCAATTAACATCGTGTAATTGTGAACTTAAATGGAGGTAAATAACGCATTTATTTATTCGTTAAATTAAAGCTTTCATTAATATTTATGGTGACGTGCAGTACTCAAGCTCAAAAGTTCATTTAAATGAAACAAATCAAAAGCAGAGTTTATTAAATAGAAATGCAAATCCCTTACTTGAAAGGTAAATCTTACAATAATAAAATTAATATCAATATATATAAATATCTATCAGTTCGCATATTTACGAGACTTTTTAGACGTAGACGTAAATGTAGAAGTTACGAGTGACATAAGATTGAAGATCCGAATTCGTAATTTGGTATTTACAAAGCCATTCGTAGACATTGACGTAAGTTACGAATTCTTAAATGTACGATTGTACGTACGCATGCGCTTCCGGTAGTTTCACTTTACAGTGCACCAATATTTTTCCTGTCGTCTGCGAAAAGAGAAGAGAATGGATGAGGGGGAGAAGCCAAGGAAAGCAAATTTCACTGATTTGGAGCTAGAGGTGTTGGTGGACGCTGTGTCTACCAACTACAAAGTATGATGAATTGTTTAAGATTAAATTGAAGTAAAACAATAATACTCAGGTTGAAAATTGACTGATAAGTAGATAATTTAGCAAATATCAGAACGTGTGTGAAAGCTGATGCGGGTTTATATTATAATATTGCAAGGACCTAAATGTCGTTAATTTATTAGGCCTAGCTGACACTGATTTCTGTCATACCTCTTTCTTCATTAATCAGAGTACTTTTTAAAATGATATTAATTATTGAAAAGCACATGTATGTATATGCATATAGAGTGAAGGCAGTAAGTCTGCAATGCAGAAAGGAGCTTGGCGATATTAAAAAAGAAGTGGCAGGACCTGCAGTCATGGTGAAAAAAAAAGAAATCCCAGAGGAGGAAAAGCAAGCGGCAGACAGGGGAAGGACCCATGCAGCTTGGGGCGTTCAAGCCATGGGAGGAGAAAGTTTGTTTATAATTATTATATTTTCAGGTTTACGCTGTTGTATGGCATGTCAAGATTTATGGATTTGTTGTTTTTAAACATTATTATTTTACATATTGTCCATTAGAAAGGTAGGTACACGGTTGATGGACACATGCTGATACAGACCACGTTTTCTCTTTGAATTTTTACTAATATGCTAGAAATGTAGAATATATGATGCTGATAAACCTTAAATCCTGACCTGTCACAATTGGTCCCTGCTGAGATATGTTTTAAGGTGGAATATCCCTCTGATAATAGAAATAACTCTTCTGCAGATATTTTGTCATGAAATTTAGTGAATTGTCATGCCAGAGTTTTCAAATTTTATTCATATGGACTATTTTATAGCCAACTTAATCAAGCCTATTCAATCGTACAGATGTTGATTTCTAGTTTCTATTGCTAGTATATTTATCAATTATTTAAAAAAGTTTACCTAAAACATTTATACTCAGTTCCTTTAAACGCTGTAATCTCTTAAGTACATGTCTTTTAATTGTACAGAAATTTCAGATGCAGAATAATTTATAGACATTCAATTATTTTGTATAATATATTTTCAATGGCGATAATGTAACGATAACTCTTGTTTATGGATGCATATTATTTTTCTTGCTGAATTTGAAAATTTGATTTATTGTAAATTTCAAAAGAAAAAAACAAACTAAAATAACAGTTTTCATATTTTCTTTACTTTAGAATAACAAATTTTTTAATTATTCTGACAGAATATTGTAATATCTGATAAAAACAAATTTGAATGAAATTAAAATCATAATTTAACATCTATTGTAAATTACAGGTAATCATTGGTTTCTTTTGGAACTTGTAGAACAAAAACATGTAACGCATTCCAAAATCAAAACAGAAAATCTTTTTTTCTGTTTTAAGCATTTTGCCCTTAGGTATTGACAAAACTCAACAAATAACACAGTTTACAAGATATTTATTGGTGAATATCAAAAGTTTAAAGAACGCAAACCATCGTTTACATAGCTAGATTTTACGGAGTAAATTTCCTCCCAAAAACTAACACTGAACAGTTTTCAATACCACATTACAATTTAAAAAAGGCAAAAATCTACGGGGTAAATTTCCTCTCAAAAATGACACTGATACAGTTAACATACAGTAGTCAATTCAAAAGCGACTATCATTGATATAACAAGATTTTACGGAGTAAATTTCCTCCCAAAGAATATCACTGATACAGTATTCACTACAACAATTACAATTTGAAAATAGCACAAAATCTACAGAGTAAATTTCCTCTCTAAATTCACATTGGTGCATTGTACATTCAGTATTTCAAAGCCAAAGCAACCATCGTTTACATAGCTAGATTTTACGGAGTAAATTTCCTCCCAAAGAATATCACTGATACAGTGTTCACCACTACAATTACACTTTGAAAATAGCAAAAATCTACAGGGTAAATTTCCTCTCTAAATTAACATTGGTTCATTGCATATTCCGTATTTCAAAGCCAAAGAAACCATCGTTTACATAGCTAGATTTTACGGAGTAAATTTCCTCCCAAAGAATATCACTGATGCAGTGTTCACCACTACATTTCAAAATAGAAAAAAACTCTACAGAGTAAATTTCCTCCCTAAATTCACATTAGTGCATTATACATTCAGTATTCAAAACCAAAGTAACCATCGTTTACATAGCTAGATTTTACGGAGTAAATTTCCTCCCAAAGAATATCACTGATAAAGTGTTCACCACTACAAATACAATTTGAAAATAGCAAAAATCTACAGGGTAAATTTCCTCTCTAAAATCACATTGCTTAATTGCACATTCAGTATTTCAAAGCAAAAGAAACCATCGTTTACACAGCTAGATTTTACGGAGTAAATTTCCTTCCAAAGAATATCACTGATACGGTGTTCACCACTACATTTCAAAATAGAAAAATTTCTACAGAGTAAATTTCCTCTCAAAATGCACGTCGGTGCATTGTACATTCAGTATTTCAAAGCCAAAGCAACCATCGTTTACACAGCTAGATTTTACGGAGTAAATTTCCTCCCAAAAACTATCACTGAAACAGTTTTCACTACCACATTACAATTTGAAAATGGCAAAAATCTACGGGGTAAATTTCCTCTCAAAAATGACACTGATACATTTAACATACAGTAGTCAATTCAAAAGCGACTATCCTTGATATAACAAGATTTTACGGAGTAAATTTCCTCCCAAAGAATATCACTGATACAGTATTCACTACAACAATTACAATTTGAAAATAGCACAAAATCTACAGAGTAAATTTCCTCTCTAAATTCACATTGGTGCATTGTACATTCAGTATTTCAAAGCCAAAGCAACCATCGTTTACATAGCTAGATTTTACGGAGTAAATTTCCTCCCAAAGAATATCACTGATGCAGTGTTCACCACTACAATTACACTTTGAAAATAACAAAAATCTACAGGGTAAATTTCCTCTCTAAATTAACATTGGTTCATTGCATATTCAGTATTTCAAAGCCAAAGAAACCATCGTTTACATAGCTAGATTTTACGGAGTAAATTTCCTCCCAAAGAATATCACTGATGCAGTGTTCACTACTACATTTCAAAATAGAAAAAAAAAACTCTACAGAGTAAATTTCCTCCCTAAATTCACATTAGTGCATTGTACATTCAGTATTTCAAAGCAAAAGCAATCATCGTTTACATAGCTAGATCTACGGAGTAAATTTCCTCCCAAAGAATATCACTGATACAGTATTCACCACTACAAATACAATTTGAAAATAGCAAAAATCTACAGGGTAAATTTCCTCTCTAAATTCACATTGGTTAATTGCACATTCAGTATTTCAAAGCAAAAGAAACCATCGTTTACATAGCTAGATTTCACGGAGTAAATTTCCTCCCAAAGAATATCACTGATACGGTGTTCACCACTACATTTCAAAATAGAAAGAACTCTACAGAGTAAATTTCCTCTCAAAATGCACGTCGGTGCATTGTACATTCAGTATTTCAAAGCCAAAGCAACCGTCGTTTACACAGTTAGATTTTACGGAGTAAATTTCCTCCCAAAGAGAATCACTGATATAGTGTTCACAACTACATTACAATATGAAAATAGCAAAAATCTAGAGAGGAAATTTCCTCTCAAAATGACATTCATATAGTAAACATACAGTAGTGAATTCAAAAGCAAATAGCCTTTATATAACAAAACTTCACGGGGTAAATTTCCTCCCAAAGAATTTCACTGATACAGTGTTCACTACTAACATTACAGTTTGGTAAAAAAAATCTACAGAGTAAATTTTCTCTCTAAATTCACATTGGTGCAATGTACATTCATTGAAAGCCAAGGCAACCGTAGTTTACATAGCTTGTAGAATTTACGGAGTAAATTTCCTCCCAAAGAATATTACTCATACAGTGTTTACTACTACAATTAAAATTTGAAATTAGCAAAAGAGTAAGTGTCCTATCAAAAATGACATTGATACAGTGTATAATGGGTCTTTTAGACAGCTTAACTTTACGGAGTAAATCCCCCCCCCCCCCCCCCCAATGTATAGCACTGATTCACATGTACAGTTTTCAACATATCTATAAAACGTTAACTTTTTCAAGTTAACAAAATCTACAGAGTAAATTTCCTCTCAAAAATGACATTAGTGCATTGTACATTCAGTATTTGAAACCGTATTTGATTTTACCATGTTTACGGAATAAATTTCCTCCCAAAGAATATCAGTGATACAGTGTTACCTACTAACATTTACAGTTTGAAAATAGAAAAAGATCTACAGGGTAAATT